AATTAACTCTTCAATTAATCTTCTGATCAGAATGCGGACCTGTCACTGTGGAAACTGGGTACTCTGCCACCTGTTTTGGTGACCTTTTATTCATTAACAAAATACCTAGACAAATCATGTCAAGTGCTTGGGCTTGGCTACAATCCAACCATCAGTATGGATGAGATCAACAAAGCAGCAGTCACTCATTACAATGGAAACATGAAACCTTGGCTTGATATTGCCATGAACCAATATAAGAATCTCTGGACAAAATATGTGGATAGCGAAATGGAATTCGTGCAGGGGTGCAATTTTGGCTTCTAGATGAATAGTTGTGCTGCTTTCTTATCAACTTGGTGACACAGGATAACGAATTTCAGATTCTTCAGTGAGTTTTGAGTTTTGACTGTATTCTTGCCAGTTTTTTTTTCTAGCATTCATCTAACTTTCAGAATGAACCCCAATGGTGTCATCACTAATTTTACGGTAGAAATGCTATTTGGTAATCATCAATTTTGTTGTTTTTTTTTTTACTTTTGAAAGGTGTCAACCCATAGAAATGTAACAAACAGATTTGTTTATGTATACACAGTAATGATTCTTTTCAATAAATATCTTTTCATTATCATTATTCGATTTAGTGACTCACAGATTGCTTCCTGTTGCTACTGAATGTTTTTATACCAAGTGTTAATGGTACCCTGACGATGCTAAGGGAAGGTAAGGGAATGTTAACATGTAACGTGAGGATGACTTGCCTGTGGATGCTTGCATGGCCTCTTGCTTCACGTAGGCTGTGATTTCCCCTTCACATTCTGGCGTAACTTCAATAGATCTCTATATAATGTTTTGTGCTCTTAAGGGTATAGTACATGGCTAAGGTTTCATTTAGAAGTGTGTTTCATTTAGAAGTGTTACACGCAAGGGCGGAGCCAGATTTTTTTTTCAGGGGGATGAGATAATTTTTTATATACTAATTAAAATTTTTTTTAAAATTTAAGAGGATGAGATAATTTTTCATATATTAATTTACAAAAATTTTCAAATTTCAGGAGGGCTAACGCCTCGCACCCCTTTCCTTCACCACTGGTTACACGTAATATATTTTTTCACAAATATATTGTCTAAAAGGATAAATTTATTATAAAGAATTAATTTTAATTAATATTTTATATTTTTAATAATTTAATTAATATTTTATATTTTTTAACAAATGACAAAAGCAAAAGAATAGTTTTTAACACAATCAAGGAAGGACCAAAGAATGCAGCTAGAGTCAAAAGGAGGCAAAACTGAGTCCAAACTTCACAAAATCTAAGTAGAAATAAAATAATTTAGCCCAAATTTGGAAAAAGAGGGCACTAGAAGGAATGGTTATTGTCACCAAATTTTTGTTTTTTCTTCTTTTTTCGTTAAGGTTACATGAAATATTATTTATAAGAAATAATTAATAATTGTAACTATCAATTAATAAAATAATAATTATTTATTATTTAATAAATAAAAATTAATTATTTAAAAAAATTATAAACTAATAAAATTAGTTAAAACAAACACAATTTATTATTATTTTATTTATCTGATCTTAACAAAAAGTCACCTGACAATAATCAACATCACAGGGGATAATAGAGCAATGCCTGGCTGGCAGTAGAAAGTAGAAACCCATTTAATCCAGTCAAACCCATTTTCATTCCACTCCGTCGTGGGCCTTATTTAAACCCCATTTCTCCGCCCCACTTTTCATTTTTCTTTCTTCTTAAATAGTGGAAGGCGGAACCCAAGGGAACCCAGAGATGGCTGGTGCAGGAGGTATATTCAGAGATCATAATGGTTCTTGGATCTATGGTTACTCTAGAAGAGTTGGCTTTACCACTAGTCTTGCTGCTGAACTTTGGGCCATTAGGGACGGTTTAGATATTGCTGTTAACAGAGGAATTTCCAAACTTATTTTGGAAACAGATTCCAAAGTTGCAGAAACTCTTCTTAAATCTGCAAACCATAACTTCCACTCACTTGGTGTGCTTATTCGTGACTGCAGGCGTCTCATGCAAGAGGTTTCTGACTTTCAAATTCACCACATCTACAGGGAGGCTAATGCGGCTGCAGACTTTTTGGCCAAACTTGGTGTTTCCTCTTCTTTTGACTTTATGTTGTATGATGAGAGACCTAATGACTCTCTTGTATTTTGTTTTATGACTGTATTGGAACTGTTGTTCCAAGAACTATTGTAGCCGTTTAAGTCTTATTTATTTAATCCTCCCATTACTACCAAAAAAAAAAGAAGGCGGAAGGCCTCATGGGCCCCCAAAATGGAAGTTACGCCCAAACCCATCTCACATTTACTTAGTTTTATGCAAATTTGTAACAAAGCCAAGCCCACTTTCCAACCTCGCGTGAATTCAACTGGGATCCCACGCGCACGCCTTAGTTTGGCTGGCATCCAAAGTTCAATCTCGGTGATATATGTACCCCCAAGAGTCCCAGACCTCTGCAACGACATTCAGTTGTTTTTGGCTTGGTCTCTCAAAACCATTCTGCACAGCTTCTCCCGTATACTTTCTTTTCTTCTCAATGTCTTCTTCTTCACTTCCTTTGTCACCCATTGCCTTTTCTTCAACACAAGTTGGAGAATTGAAACTGCCTCCACTACTTAGGTTTTTCAAGGGTTCTTTTCTGAGGATAAAGAAAGAATCGTCAAGATCATGGAACGAGTAACCTCCTCTGGGTTCAGTAAAGTTGCTAAACTAATGGAAACCCTACTTGATTCTTCTGTCAAAGAAGACGCCATGGGAAAAAGGGGACAATCTCTCGATGTCCCTGTTTCTGCATTCCCTTTCGTAGGGCTGGAAGGAAACAAATCTGAGTTATACGAGTTTCTGGGTATCACCGAGGAAGACGTAGAGAACCTACCTTACTTTATTGAGAAAGTCCGAGAGGAAGGAGTGAGTAAAGCTCGAGAATTCGTCAATGGCGGTCACCCTTTTGCTCAATTTCAGTGGGTCAAGAAAGCTGTTGACTTGATGGGTCTTAATATGATGGATGTTCATGGCGGCCTTGCCCTAGTTGATTACTTGAAGGAGGCCAATCGGGAATTCATGAAGAAACAGAAATTGTGTTCTGTTTACTACCCAACTGTTCCAGCATTCCCAATTCTGGGTTTTTTCATTCCCAAGAAATGGAGGTCCAACAGAAGGAAAGAGAAACAATGTTCTACCAGTTGCCCTGTTCCGTCGTTCCCAGTTTTCCTTCTTTCCGTGCCCAGGAAATAGAGATCTAAAGGAGCGAAACCCTTGATAATCACTACTGGCAGTGGTTTTCTCAGTAAATTTGGAGCCCCTGTTAAAGATTTTGAAACGAGATTCTTTGATGCTAAACTAGTGGAACGTAGGGGGAACAAGAGTCAGAAACGTTGCCGTGAAAGTGAAGAAAGTGAAAAGGAAAAGCTGAATAAACCAAAGAGACAGAGGGATGGAAAGATACAGAATAATAGAGTAATGGCTCAACTTGCTGAATGGGGTTTGCTGCCTCCACCAAACATGCCAACTGAATTCAAGAATTTGATTGAAGAGATGGGTGGTTCTAAAGAGAAGTAGCTGATACAAAAGATCATATTCAAAACAGATCTTAGCAAGTCCCACAACCATTTGCAAATTCTAGAGAATCAAGTGATGGTAGATTTTCTTACAGAGGAGGAAGAAAGGAAACTGGATGAGAAAGGGCTGAATGTTGAGCTGATAGAACCGTGTCTGAAGAAGTCAACAATCCACCTAACCAAGTGGAACATGAAAAATTCTAGAGTGTTTGTGTTTAACGAGCAGTGGAATTCAGTGGTAAATGGAAATCAAAGCACCCTGAAGAAGAATATAGTGGTTCAGATTTGGTCATTCCGAACAGCTCCCAACTCAAAGCTCTGTTTTGCCATGGTTAAGGTTAAGGATGGAGATGATTATTAAGGTTCTTAGAGATTACATATACCGAGAAGTGGGAACTTTTTTGGTAATTTTCATTATTAAAAGAGTCAGTTATGGTAACCCTTTACATTATTAAGGTCAGATTATTTGGAGGGAAACATTTTTTTTTTTTTGGTGGGGGGGACAATTTTTTTAGTCTTGAGATGTGACCTGTAACATGTTTAGAGAAATCTTTTTGAAGTAGGCAGAGAGTAGTTTGGTTACTTTACTTTTTGTAGCCTCGAGACAACATATGCTATGTGGATATTTTGAGTTTAATATCAAGAGCTGTACTTTTATTTTTTCAGGATTATCCTTATAAACCTTATAGTTGTTTCTTGTTCATTTTGATTCTAGTAGAAAGAAATCATCTTCTCAGCTTCATATCATAGTTGTCATAATTCTATCCTTCAACTTAAACAGCTAACAAAAGTAATGATTTAGAATGCATGAGAATTATGAGAACATTTTTTTTCTTGTACCCTGCCTCTCTTGCGAAGTGCAAAAATTTGATGCAAGATATTTGTGACAATTTTGCATAGTTGACACCTTTGTAATGTTTTGAAAAGAAAAGAAGGTGGGAATCATTTATCTAAAACTTGTTCTTTACATTGATTAGAGAAAAAAATACAATCAGATTGTAACCTAGAATAGCATCATGCTTTTCTCACAACAAATACTTCACAGATAACATTGTGAATGGCCAGAATCCATCATAAATCTCTACTTCTTCTCATCATTATACAAAAAATTATCTATCATCTGTGTTATTGGACAAACCTCCACTGCAAGTTCAATTGCAGCCAAGTCAGTCCCCAAGGGCTTGCACTGTTTGGCAATGCGACTCATGGAGTAGATAATTTCACATCCAGGAAATTATACTGAAGGGGAGCCTGATACTGAGTTTGAGGATCCCAGTTTATACCATTATGCTATTTTTTCAGATAATGTGATTGCAGTGTCTGTGGTGGTCAATTCTGTGGTAAAGAATGCAGTGGATCCCTCGAAACATGTATTCCACGTAGTTACTAATAGAATGATGGTGGCTACCATGAAGGTTTAGTTTAAGATAAGGCCTATGAGAGGGGGTGCTCATGTGGAGGTGAAGGATGTGGAGGATTTTAAGTTCTTGAATTCATCCTCTGTACAGAGGTTGTACTCTGAGAATGGGGTGGAGAATGCAACCAAAGATGTGAACAGTATGAAGTTTACAAACCCTAACAAACTATCAATGCTGAATTACCTTAGGTTTTATTTGCCTGAGCTGTACCCAAAATTGCATAAGATTTTATTCTTGGATGATGATGTTGTGGTGCAGAAGGACTTGACTAGGTTATGGAAGATTAATTTGGATGGGAAGGTTAATGGGGCTGTCAAGACTTGCTTTGGGTCATTCCATCCTTTTGCCCATTATTTGAACTTTTCACATCCTCTAATCAGGAAGAGGTTTAACCTCAAGGCCTGTGCTTGGGCTTATGGGATGAATATTTTTTATCTTGATGCTTTGGAGGCGTGAAAAATGCACGGAGCAATATAATTACTGGCAAAACTTGGTAAATAGATCTTTTTATCTTTATTTTCTGAGTATGTTTAACTTATAAGTACATTGCTGTATGTTGCCGTAACCTATCTGTAAGCATAACTTGTTAGCTTTTCATAAGCTTCTAAATTCTAATAGGTTTCTTTTCTTGAAAGTTCATATTTTTCTTCTTTTCTTTACAGAGGATAAAGCATGCTGGCTCAACCCTAATTCACCAAAAATAAAACCAAATGACAAATTATATGTACAATTGTGATGCCCTATTGCGAAGTTTTTATAGCTTGAGTTGAAAATGCTAGCAAAGTAAGTGTATCCTTTACATAGAATCAAAAAGCTTACTTTGCAAAGTCATGACACCTTATTTTTAATACTGGTTAGATTTGTTTGGTAACTTTGGTTGAA